ATATGGTATTCAGCTTTGTTCGGGTATTTTCCCACGTCATTATATATGTATATATACATTGTATATGTATGTACAACTATAATGACGTGGGAAAATACCCGAACAAAGATGGATACTATACATGTAAGTACCTGCGAAAACTTAAGAAAACATACACACACACACACACACACACACGCATGCACGCACACAAATATATATGTTGTAATTTATAATATTTTGTAAATATCTTATAGTTTTCTTTATAGATTTGTAAATAACTTATAGCTTTCTTTAACCTACTTGTACTTTATATAAATGTCCCATTTTTCATTATATTTATCTACACAAAATCTGCATCTATAGGCAATCCATTCATATGTGGCAAGTTTAATCAGGTCTTCAATCCACTACGTAAATTGAACCATACATTTTATCTTTCTAATGTTGCGAAATCAATCTTTTAGCCATAGTGAAGACATGGAATGTTGTTCGGTTGTCAAATTCCAAGTATGACTTGGAATGATTCTCAGTCATCCAGGTCATAGTTGTCCCAAAGGTGATTTTTCAAGAGGCAACTTGACTTCCTTGTTTTTCTTAGAACACATTTTGCTCCTCATCCAAGAGCTACAGAAGTTTCTTGGATGAGAAGTGAAACATCTTCAAAGAAAAACAAGAAAGTCCAGTTGCCTCTTGAAAAAGCACCTTTGGGACTCCTAAGAATGAGGTACATAGTTCACAAGAATATTATCATCTGAAAATTTTAGCTTTTGTCACACAATTATATTTCTTTCTTTTTTCAAAAATTAGTAAGTATAGGATACTGCAAAAACACATCTTTTTAAGAAGCATTGTCCTCATTACATCTCCCAAAAATGTTGTCTTAGACAATCCTTTTTTGTTCAAAAGTAATGAATCCCATAAATCTTATTTTAGTCATATGAGTTATAGTTTAAGATCCATTGATACCCTTGCTATAAAGGTTAAAACACTATCCCATTGACTAGATGATATCTGATTCAAATGTTGTTGAAATATTATGTTAGGTTATATGAGGTCATATCTTTATAGGAGATCTACACGTCAACAACTGGCTTATGTTTCTGTGATTTGTAATCTATAAGCCTTGTACAACCTTTCTTTCAAATGCAACTTTTGGATATATTGCACTTTAATTTCCACTGTTCTATCAGTTTCTTTATTTAATTCTTGTCTCTTGCATGATGCCACACATGATGTCTTTTGTTGTTTGTGTTAACCCTCTTCAGAAAACACCATTAATGGAAAATGTATTTGAACACATCCATAGAGTTGCCAGATTGTGGACTTGTTTAATCTCAAATATCATTTGTTCCAATTTCACTTGGAATAATGGTTTGACATCTAAATTGTGATAACTTGAGAACTTTTCAAAGATACATTGCATGTGTGAATAAAATAGTGCCAATTAAAGTTAAAGTAGACTGATGGATGACAGTAAAATCATTTTTCCAAAACTGCGCCTTCCCTTTAATCTAGTTTAAATATGATAGACACATAATTTTTAGAGCAAAAGAGATATAATAACTGGATGCGTGCTGAGGTAGTTACATCATTTAAGTTTCTTATGGTAACAGCAGAGAGGAACAAAAAGATGAGAGGAAAAAAAGTCAAATAGCAGGAGATTATTATTATTATTATTTTGCATTTGGAATTATTTTTTTCCCAAATGAAAAAATCCAGGCTATATAATTTATATAATATATAATTCCTCAGTCAGTTGCCCATTATTCTGAGCTCTTCTGCATCTCTGACTAACAATATAAATGATTATATTCCCTCTTAGGCAATTTGTAGAAAATAACAACCGATCTATTGAGGTGGAATTGATCTTTGACTCCATCACAGAAGCTGATTTTCATACTGATTTCAGATGTGTGGCACAAAACGTTGGTGGGAATCGTATACAAACAGTGACAGTCAAGGAAAAAAAGAAAGGTTTGTGTAACAAGCCAATTATGCTTATTACCATCTTTTTCTCATTATTATTTTTCCGATGACTCTGATAATGGCTATTCATTTTTGCATTTTGTAAATATGGAAAGAAAGTTCAGGAATAAACTGGCCAAAGGTCTGGAATAACTTCTGATCAGGTCATGTTTATATTACATGATTTCTAATAAGTTGTTTTACTTTCAAATAATTACAATTTCTCTTGGCATGTTTCCAAAGGAAGAGGAGAGGAATTTATGTGCATACAAAATTTTCCAGTTTTGCCAAAGGTTATCCAACATTTTGCTTATTACTGTTATGTAATGGGTTTTGTAAATTCTCTCTGGAATCCATAACATATAGATAATAAGCAAAACTTCTCAACCTATGCATCATACAGATCACATAAGTTCCCCAGTAAATGCCACATCCCTACTCAGGCCATTGAATCTCATTTGGAGGGCTTCTTAGGTGAGCTTCTTCATACCAATCACATTGATTTTCATATGAAATCAGACATGGTTCCAATTTCCGTCCTACTTCACAAGAGGGGGGGGCATTTTCCTTCATTGATGTGAAGAAGTAAGCTATACAAATAGCATTTACATTGACCCAAGTTAAGTGTTTGAGACCAGAGCAAGATAGAATATACTATTTATGGGTTCTCTCATTTGCTATCTTCAAGCAAAGAATAACGATCATATCTCATGATTGAATATACTAGTTACAACATGGAAAATGAAATAGACAGACAGACAGACAGACAGACAGAGAGAGAGAGAGAGGGGGGGGGGGGGGGGAAGGAGGCTAACCTTTCCAAGATTTGTGGATAGGAAACTGATGTAAGAATCAGATTACTTTTAGTCAACAGTTTTATTGAATTGAAATAAACATCCCACCAATATTTTCCCCAACCTGGCTTGCTGAGTTTTTCTGAAAGTATTTGTTCAGTCCAATGTTTTGTGAGAACTCTAGTGTTCTGTTGGGCAATCACTTAGTTTAGTTTAGTTTACTTTATTGTCATTGCACCTCGTACAATGAAATCAAACACCATCTTCAGTGTACATCATGACCATGAAAATAAACACAAACACACATCCTTCACACTCCACATATTGAACCGTAAACCCCGAACACCGCACCAACACTGCACTATAGAGTAGAATTCAAAAGAGCTACTGCCCTGGGATAGCTGTTTTTCAGACTATTTGTCCTTGTTTTTATTGTCCTGTACCATCTGCCAGTAGTTCAAAAAAAAAAAAAAAGGATGCCCAGGATGAGATGGATCTTTGAGAATGTTTTGAACTTTCTTAAGGCAGGGGGAGCTATAAAGCTCTTCCAGAGAGGGGAGAGGGCAACCAATGATCTTTTGGGCAATGACATTAACCCTCTGGAGCGCTGTCCTATCTGCCACTGTGTAATTGGCGAACCATAAAGAGGGGCAGTAAGTTAAGATACTCTCTATGGTGCAGCTGTAGAAGGTCACCAGCAGTTTTTCATTCAGTTGTTGTTTTCGGAGAAGTCTCTGCTGGGCCCTTTTGACCAGGGCTGCAATGTGGGCACCCCAGGTCAGGTCCTCTTTTAGGGTAACACCCAGAAACTTAAAACTGGCCACTTGCTCCACTTGGTCTCCATTGATAAGCAAGGGCTGGATGTCTGATCTGTTCTTTCTATAGTCCACTATAAGCTCCTTGGTCTTATTGGTGTTGAGGACTGAGTTATTGTCTCCACACCACGAAAGCAACCGGTCCACCTCATCTCGGTAGGCAGACTCATCCCTCCTGGAGATGAGTCCCACCACTGTTGTATCATCTGCAAATTTAGCAATAGTATTACTAGCATGAGTGGGAATGCAGTCATGCACATAAAAAGTATAGAGTAAGGGACACAACACGCAACCCTGTGGTGTACCAGTGTTAAGAATAAGGGCTGAAGAGGTATGATTACCTAATCTGACCCTCTGTGAGCTTGCTCTATAACAGGTGCTCCCAACTAAGGGTGTGAGATGATATTCCAGAGGGTGAGAAAACTTGGGTTTAGACAGTTCAAAATTATAGTGTATAATTATATGCATATAATTATTTATTTTTAAGGGGTGCAAGAATATATCAGAAACATTCTAGGGGTGTGCGGTATAGAAAAGGTTGGGAAACCCTGCTCTATAATCTGTACACTAAAACATTGAAGGAATTCTACTTCAGTGGAAAATTTGTAGCAGCAAATGGAATTATCTCTTAATTCCATGTAAAATTGGCTTGGGAATTTCACAACCACATATGAATTGGGAGTTGGCAGAAATGCAAGAATGGGGAACATATGGGTCTTCGGGTGTCGTTGAACTGTAGCATAAATGTATCCCATTGTTGTCTGAAAAGTCATAGATTAGATCAAGTACGTTATATCCGTGCAACATGATAATTAAAAATATTACACACTTTCAGAGCAAAGGTCAGCATTGAAGGGGTAAAAAGCTTGCAGTTTTTAGGGTTACACACTTTTCAAAGCATCTGCCCTACCCTGTTTTAAAGCTGTGCACTGATTGTATATTCTTACAAAACTTAACCACATTTCTTTTTACTGCCATAAATATGACACATTGTTACTTTGTATTCCATCTGCTACTGATAAAACTTGTGTTTTTGGGAACCAGGGAGCTTAGAAAAACAATGATTTAACCAAACATAGTATGTTGTCTAATATTCTTTCTTTCTTTCTTTCTTTCTTTCTTTCTTTCTTTCTTTCTTTCTT